AAAAAATGCCAATAGTTTCAATCTACATTTATTCTCCCAATAAAATGTAAAGCAACTTTGCTAATACAGGTCATATACTTAGACATTTATTATTTCAGTATCACAGTCTTTACTCAATGAACTCTTCTATTTTTATTTTAATGTAATAACTTTACTTTGTCATTCATTGCTTCTATTATTTCACAGTAATGCTTTATTTTATGTGTACCTTCTTTTAAGAATCAATTGTATAAATGTATTGCATTTCTATCTTAAGTTTCTAGTCTGTTTAAGAATACCTTTCAATATAAAATGCCAAATTGTTTTATGTGTGTATGTTAACCCAAATATATATGTGCCTGTGTTTTCATAGTTGTTTAAATGTAGCCTTTTCTCTTTTTAAGTTTTTCTTTGATGTGAAATACTTGGTGATCCGATCAGACCCCTTTTTTTCTGTTTTATTCTGACCACGGCAAGGATGGAAGCAGATCCATCCTAAGGTGGTCAGTACTTGGGAATTACAGGATGCCATGTGTTTGTACAGCATGCCTTTTTTATTAAAACATTTGCCTTATATCATTATTTACCATAATGTAATGGTTTTACAGAGAAAGGATTCACATTCTTGTAAACCACATTGCCTATTTGGACATACTATGTGCGTCCACAAATTAAGGACATGCAGTAGAACCCATGAGATTGTATTTTCTCTCCTCAGTCAGTTCCCAGCTGTAATGTAAAAATGATCCAGGTGAATGTTTAGGTGCCTAATAACTTTTTACAGGGGTGCACTGTAGCACCCCCTCCCCCTTGCCCCCCATTGCCCTCCCTCTGTTGTTCCTGTGCTCTCTCCCCAGAGTCCAGGACCGCAACCAGTGATTTCAGGATAGTGAGCAGGAGGAGGTCAGGGATCATTTGTTCCCCAATCTAATCTTCTGTATAAAAAAACCTCCAATGTCTCTATAAAGAGAACATGTCACCTGCCCAAAGCTATCACATATGGGGCTTGTTAGCCTCCTTGTGGTAGCAGTAAAGATAAATAAAAAATATAATATAAAAATAAAAATATTTTAATTAAGTACTGTGTAGGTATTATAGGTACAGATATTTATAACCTCTCCTAAAGATGACATAACTCCAACTCAGAAAGCCTACATCTTGAAGAATGAAGCCATCTTTGTTCAAGCAATATCCAGGGTTACATCTTTTTCCTGGACCGATACTGCCTCAGAGCATGTCACCCTGTGACATGCTACAAAATTTCAATCTGATCTCATAGATGAGAAGAGACCGAGTACCTGCTACTTTCTTCCTGCCACTTACTTATGACATCATCTCAGTCTAGCCATAATCACTTGAGTAGTGTAAAAATGCATACATTTTAAATTTCTTTTTAATGATAAAAAGTACTGTTTTTATCTTTAAGTTACACTGTAGACATGTGTTGTAATATATAAAATAAATTACACCCACTCTCCTCTAAAATGTAGATTTTGTCATAATGATTTGCACTTGTACTAAAAGGTCCACTTAGCATATAATGGAGCTACACATTTACACCTATTATCAGCATGAAATACTCATCTATTTCTTTGTGATATTGCATTTCAGTGATAATATCTAGAGATGAGCGAATCGAACCTGGCGAAGTGGAATTCGTTTCGAATATCAGGAAAAATTAGATTCGCATCGAATCCGAATTTTAGCAAACTTCGGGTGCACGAATCGAATTTTTCCCGATCAGCCGGCAAAAGTGTCACTGCAGAGAGCTCCGCTATTTCTGACAGTTCTGACAGTTCATTTACAGCGGTTGAAACATTGTATCTATTTGTTTCCATTTAGGATACAGATGTTTTTATTCGGAAATAAATAGATACAATGTTTCAACCGCTGTAAATGTGAAGGAACTGTCAGAGAACTGTCAGAAATAGCGGAGCTCTCTGCAGATACACTTTTTGCTGTACTGGAATTCTTCTTCTTTTCATTCTTCTTCTTCTTTTCATTCTTCTTCTTCTTCTTCTTTTCATTCTTCTTTTCATTCTTCTTCTTCTTCTTTTCATTCTTCTTCTTCTTCTTTTCATTCTTCTTTTCATTCTTCTTTTCATTCTTCTTCTTCTTCTTTTCATTCTTCTTCTTCTTCTTTTCATTCTCCTTCTTCTTCTTTTCATTCTTCTTTTCATTCTTCTTCTTCTTCTTTTCATTCTTCTTCTTCTTCTTTTCATTCTTCTTTTCATTTCTTCTTCTTCTTTTCATTCTTCTTCTTCTTCTTCTTTTCTTTTCTTTTCTTCTTTTCATTCTTCTTCTTCTTCTTTTCATTCTTCTTTTCATTCTTTCATTCTTCTTTTCATTCTTTTTCATTCTTCTTCTTCTTTTTTCATTCTTCTTTTCATTCTTCTCATTCTTCTTTTCATTCTTCTTTTCATTCTTCTTCTCATTCTTCTTTTCATTCTTCTTCTTCTTCTTTTCATTCTTCTTCTTCTTCTTCTTTTCATTCTTCTTCTTTTCATTCTTCTTTTCATTCTTCTCATTCTTCTTTTCATTCTTCTTTTCATTCTTTTCATTCAGTCTTCTTTTCATTCTTCTTCTTCTTTTCATTCTTCTTCTTCTTCTTTTCATTCTTCTTCTTCTTCTTTTCATTCTTCTTTTCATTCTTCTTCTTCTTCTTCTTCTTCTTTTCATTCTTCTTCTTCTTTTCATTCCTCTTCTTCTTCTTTTCATTCTTCTTCTACTTCTTTTCATTCTTCTTCTTCTTCTTCTTCTTCTTCTTTTCATTCTTCTTCTTCTTCTTTTCATTCTTCTTCTTCTTCTTCTTTTCATTCTTCTTTTCTTCTTTTTTTCATTCTTCATTTCATTCTTTTCATTCTTCTTTTCATTCTTCTTTTCATTCTTCTTCTCATTCTTCTTTTCATTCTTCTTCTTTTCATTCTTCTTGTCATTCTTCTTCATTCTTCTTTTCATTCTTCTTCTTCTCATTCTTCTTTTCATTCTTCTTCTTCTTTTTTCATTCTTCTTTTCATTCTTCTTTTCATTTTTCTTCTTCTTTTCATTCTTCTTCTTCTTCTTTTCATTCTTCTTTTCATTCTTCTTCTTCTTCTTTTCATTCTTCTTTTCATTCTTCTTTTCATTCTTCTTCTTCTTCTTTTCATTCTTCTTCTTCTTCTTTTCATTCTTCTTTTCATTCTTTCTTCTTTTCATTCTTCTTTTCATTCTTCTTCTTCTTTTCATTCTTCTTCTTCTTCTTTTCATTCTTCTTTTCATTCCTCTTCTTCTTCTTCTTCTTCTTCTTCGTCGTGCCCCGTGACTGCCTAAATGAGTGAAGTGTGCGGTGATTCTAAGATCGACGGCACTCATCTGCATGTCATACTGACTGACAGTATTATTTCTCTTCCCCAGCAGACTCCAAGGGCATTTAAATTAAAGGTACAGTGTTCTGCACTAATATAAAGGCTCTCTGAAGCCTAGAAACCCTTTTAATAAGTTAAATTTGCGGCGAATAAATTCACATCGAATCGAATTTCTCCCGCAAATTCGGCGAATCAGCCGAATCGAATTTTTGAATAATTCGCTCATCTCTAATAATATCATCTGTCATTTTTGTTTGGTTTTCATGACAGCTTTCAAATGCCATCAAGGCCATGCAACAGAAAATTTAAAACACATACACCCAAAGCACCTTAAAATGTGTTCACAACTTTACCAAGTTATTCAGACTTTGTTAGATTGATTCAGAAATGTTAAGCAATAGAGTTATATGTCTTCCTCAGTAAACATCAGCACTTGAACAGAGACCAGATAACTCAATAATTTAGAGTGGACAAGCAGATGTGGCTTACTAAGCTTTCAATTAACCCTTTGACACCATTTCTCCTAGAATACTGATAAACAAGTTTAAATGTACTGGGATTGGATTGTAAATTGACAGTTTGCAAGACATTGGTTTCAAGAGAGAAGGCAAGCAGTTGTTGTGATAAACAGAATTTAGTGGCGTACCTGTGGGATCCATTCTAATACTATAACTTTTAACTGTCTCTAGCAGTGACATTGTAGATGACCTGGGACAAAAAGTATGTATTTTTCACTCAAACTAGAAAGTTTAAAAATCTACCCAAGAAAAATACAATGTAAATGTTTCCTTTCAATGTTTTCTTCAAAGCGGACCTTGAACTTAAAGCAAGGTCTGCTTTCTTATTGAGGGCCACCTTACTAAAACGCTATACTAAAGTGCCAAAAACTGTGTGGGGGGGGAGTTACTTTGTTTACCTTACCCCCCCCCCCCACCAATAATGCATGATGATGATGTGCAGAATAGTCTTCTTGCAGGTTTTAGCTATTCAGCATTCTCTGGGATCTTGAAGGATTGTGATCCTACAGGGTTCTTTTTTAAAAATGGATCTTGCTTTTTTAGTGCAAGTTTTGCTTTAACAGGAAGAGATTTACAACATACTAAAAGGATTCATTTTACACTGTTCTGGGCTTTCAGATCACTTCAAACATTCAGTGACATGACAAGTTAGATAATCATCCCACACCTAACCGCTGCCAAGCTGCCCAATTGCTCCTTCTTCCTGTGAGGCAGCAGGTGCTTTAGCCCAGGAGTCTATTTCTGCTCCATACAGATTAGATTCAAATGAGTTTATTTGACAGGCAGCACACACGGCATCATTCCACCCAGGGTCACCCCTTTACAAAATATCTATCTCTATAACGAAGCCCTGGGTGGGTGAAACTTTCACGCATACTCATGAGCATAGGTGTTTAACAGGACATGCAAGGATGAAAACTCTCAAAGCTTCTGCCCAACCTTGAAGGGCATACAGGCTGGTATCCAAATAGCAGCTCTACTTCATGCTGCCCAATACCTAGATTTGGGAACATCATATGTTTGATGGGATTGGATGATAGGATGGTTAGCCTTGGGAAGGGTGTTCACCCCCAAAAACAAAACATATATATATATATATATATATATATACACACACACACACACAGGTGTATAAAATCAAGAATCTAGGCACACAGACTGGTTCTACAAACATTTGTGAAAAATGGGTCGCTCTCAGGAGCTCGGTGAATTCAAGTGTGTACCGAAATAAGTTGCCACCTGTGCAATAAGTCCATCCGTGAAATTTCCTTGCTACTAAATATTCCATGGTCAACTGTTAGTGGTATTATAACAAAGTGGAAGCAACTGGGAACAACAGAAACTCAGCCATGAAGTGGTAGGCCACGTAAAATGACAGAGCAGGGTCAGTGCACGCTGAAGCGCACAGTTCGCAGAAGTCACCAACTGTCTGCAATAGCTAAAGACCTTCAAACTTCTCTTCAGATTAGCACAACAACAGTGCGTACAGAGCTTCATGGAATGGGTTTCCATTGCCGAGCAGCTGCATCCAAGCCATAAATCACCTAGTACAATGCAAAGCATTGGATGCAGTGGTGTAAAGCATGCTGCTACTTGACTCTAGAGCAGTGAAGATGTGTTCTCTGGATGAATCACGCTGGGCCATCTGGGCAGAGGGTCAACTCAATATTGAACCCTATGAACTAAGACTGGGATGCTATTAAAGTTCATGTGCGTGTAAAGGCAGGTGTCCCAATAGTTTTGGCTTTACTTTTACTGTGTATATATATATATATATATATATATATATATATATATATACAAAAGAAAAAGAACGGTAAAAGTGATTTTCAAGGCACCATATACACAAATTTGATTAAAATGTCCTTGTATTACATATATCCATTAAAATAACAGAATAAAATGCTCAACTATGAAGGAAAAATATAATGTTTTGATTTGTACATATTATTGCATATCCTTCTTTAACGTATTCCCATACATACAGTACAACATATATCAATAGTAAAATTCACGTTTTATGTACTCATTCCTACAAAGACACATCAAAGGTTCATTTCATTGCTGTTTCCCAAATACAGCACGCTTGACTGCATTTCCCACCTTCCTAGAGCTGCTTCTTCTTCAGGAAATTCATGGAATTATGGAATGGTTCATGCAAATTTTATTTTTTTTGGTAAAAAAAATTAAATAATTGCCTGCACAAAGGTGCTTCTGGGAGACACACCCACATATAGATAGCACATCCATTTAGATCCACCAGTCAGATACAGAATCATCCATGAGATCAGAGGCACAATCCAGGACTTTTCTCACAGTGTGGTTGTTTTTAATTTACTAGTAATTTACTATTTACTTTTTCGTGAATGCAGAACAAGGGATATTATGTATCCCTTACTCATTCAAATGGGAGGGGCAAATTTGTTATGGGGCATATAGATTATTCTAGAGCGAGCTTCTGGATTCCAATAAGTCTTTCTCCCTACAGACCATCACATATTATTTGGGGGAGACAGGACGTAAGGATCAGGAGGTCTTTGCCCCAGTAACTCCCATGCTATTTTTTTTAAATTTAAAAAGGTAGGGTCCCTCTAAAGAGTTCATAAAAGACCCTTATCATAGTATGCGAGAAAGTGGGGCAGTGAGTGTTCACTCTACCTCTTGAACCATACCAGGTCACATGCCCATAACATTGGGAGGGTGCCTTGCACGTGAGATGGCAAAGCTGATACCCCAAGTGGATGAGACTATCTGAGGGGGAGGGGCTTATTGGAATCTGTAAGCCCCATTTTGAATAAATTAACTCCCAAATCTTCCCTCGTACATGAATGAGTACAGAATACATGGTACCCCTTGTTGACCACTCACAAAAAATAAAAATTTAAGTACAAACAGCAACAATGAGAAACTTTTGAAGATTTTGACTTGCTGCCATATTGGACATTGATGCTGCCTTGCTCTTACTCCCATTGCAAATGCCAGCTCCCCATTAGCTTCTGAATGTAAACTGCTGACGTTATTAATAAAGTATATGGCTATGACCATATCCTCACTGGCCTGTTTAGAAACAGAAGATATCAGCGATTCAGCCAATTTGTTTGCCTTTTTTACCCAACTGTGAACAGACTCGGCTTGGGTTGAATGTTTGACCCAAACTCAAAGTTCATGCCTATTCACAAAGGGTAAACATTTCATGCAATGTAAATGTTTTATTAGTATTCCTCTGGATCTTAGCATTAATTCAAACATTTAAGTTGCTGATAATATTTCCAAAGTCAGTAAAATAATTGGTATGTATTGCACTTACGGTTGACAAAGTTTAATGAGGTCTTGGTCCGTCGTCCCCGGTGGAAGTCCTCTAATATATAAGTTTGTTTTACTCAACTGCTCCGTACTGCTGTTGCTGCTGTTGTTACTACTGTTTGTGCTGGGGCTGGGGGGAGCCATGGGGTGAGGAGCTGGTGCATAAGACTGCTGCAAATATGAAGAAAAAATAATATTAAAATGACAACAATCAAAATAGGTAGTCCTATTTATTGATTTGAATATTTATTTAGGGAAAGTTTAAGGGTACTTTACAAAAACAAATTTCATATCATACAAGCAATTGTGAGATAGGTAGATAGATAGATAGATAGATAGATAGATAGATAGATAGATAGATAGATAGATAGATAGAAACAGAAAGACAGAGGAAATATTGTGCAAAATTTGAAATGGGTGCTAATATTTTAGTAGTTAGTTGTAAGATACTTGAAAGATATAAATAAGTGGGGAGGTATATAGTCTTTACTTCTTTCATTGTTACTTTTAAAATACAGTTTTTTGCAACTCTGACAAATTGCATTAATAAAATTTTCCGTAGGGGCAGGGGCATATCTACCGCGAGGCAAACAAGGCGTTTGCCTAGGGCGTCACTTTTTAGGGGGGTGGCACCGCCCCCCGGAAGAAAAGACCTTGAGAGCAGCGGTGGACAGAGCCATGCAGGGCTGCCAGCAGAGGGGTACCTTCGTACTCTTGCAGTGGCTCGGAGGACAGCAGGAGGATCGATGTGGGGGAGGGCAGTTGCAGAGCGATGCTCCTGTACCTCTCCCTCCAGCAGCTGATGAGCCGGGACCAAGGGACAGCCTGGAGCAGGGAGAGGAGAGGATCCGAAGGAGGTGAGCTGTGCTGTGGTCTGTGGGATCTCCCTGTCTCCCTCCCTGCACTGCCAGATCGTATGGGTCTGCACACACCTCCTCCTCCCCCCCCCCTTCCGGGTGCACGGAGATCAGCAGCCCTTGGAGGAGGTGTGTGTGTGCAGCCCCATACGATGTGAGAAACGGAGAGAGGAAAGAGAGGGGGGGGAAGAGAGAGGGGAGAGAGAGAGAATAAAGAGAGAGGGGGGGGGAAGGGGGAGAAGAGAGGGGGGAGAAGAGAGAGAAGAGAGTGAGGGGAGAGAGAGGGGAGAGAGAGAGGGAGGGAGAGAGGGGGAAGAGAGAGAGAAGGGGGAAGAGAGAAGAGAGAGAGGAGATGGAGATAGAGGAGAGAGAGAGAAGAGAGAGATGGTGAAGAGAGAGGGAATGAAGAGAAGAGGGAATGAGAGAGAGAGGGAATGAGAGAGGGAAGAGAGAAAGAGGGGGAAGAGAGAGAGAGATGAGAGCGAGGGATGAGAGCGTGAAAGGGAGGAGAGAGAGGGGGGGTAGAGCGAGAGAGGGGGAAGAGAGAGAGAGAGATGAGAGAGGAGAGAGGGATGAGAGAGAGAGAGGGGATGAGAGAGGAGAGAGGGGGGGAAGAGTGTGTGCGCGCGCGAGAGAGAGAGAGAGGGGGGTGAGAGAGAGAGGGGGGATAGAGCGAGGGAGGGGGAGAGAGAGAGGAGAGAGAGAGGGAAGAGAGGTAGGGGGGAGAGAGAGGGGGGGTGAGGGATGAGAGAGAGGGATGAGAGAGAGGGAAGAGCGAGAGAGGGGGAAGAGCGAGAGGGGGAAGAGACAGAGAGGATAGAGAGAGAAGAGAGAGAGAGGGAAGAGAGGTAGGGGGAGAGGGAAGAGAGGGAGAAAGACAGAGGGAAGAGAGAGAGAATCATATATATATATATATATATATATATATATATATATATATATATATATATATATATATATATTATACACACACACTTATTGACTCTCTCGCTCTCTCATTGGGGGGGCGCAAAATTTTTGTGTTGCCTAGGGCAGCACAAATTCTAAATACACTGCGTAGGGGCATCTGTGATTAAGCTCTAAAAAGGCAAAATGCATCTCAGGAGTTCTCTACAGGTGGAGAACAGAAGCTGTAGCCATATTTCACCCATTTCATTCACATTCATGCAGCAGGAAACATATTAGTATATATGGCGCAATCCCAGGAAATTGTCAGCCCCCACAGGCCAGAGATGTCACGCATTTAAATCAATAAGAAGAAATAAATATAAAAGTAGGGGACATAGACATAAGGGCTATAAATAACCATAAACACATTCTTAGCAATAAAGAGGCATAAAGGTCCATACAAATCCATATAGCAGGTAGGGAATGCACTGACTGTGACATCACTACAGGGGCAGACCTGCAGCAAGGGGGTGTGGTAACATGTTTTGGAGCTCTCTAAAGCTAGAGTGTTCTAAAACACCTTACCATCTCCTTTGGAGCTAGAGCTCTCCTAAACATGATTCCACTCCTCCTGACTGCAGGTCCTTCCCCGTAAAGACCACACATCTGGTTCTAAGCTCCATGGTGGTTTCGCCTGACTTCTAGGTTCGGCTGCTGGGAGGCTTTGCTTCCTCATTTGTGGCAACAGGGTGGAGCTAGACCAGACCTAGACTAGACCACAGGTTGACAATGCTGCTGTTCAAGGAGGGTGGAGGGTAGCCTCCTTAAAACAAGAGTTTGTTACTGGCTGGCTCACCAGGTGAAAATAAACAAAAAAAAGGCTAAAGATTGAACTACAACAGCAACTACATCTAAGGACAGGTAAGCTGAATATATTACAGTTTTAGTTCTGTGTTTAGATACTCGTTAATGTCCATTTAAAACTACATTAAAAAAAGAGTAAATATGAGATGCTGGACTCCAATCTTTTCCAATGCGGTCCACCAAGTGACCGCAGCAGCTCTACAACAAGGCAAGGGGTTCCCCAAGTAAAGGGGGCTGCTAGTATTCAGATGAAAACTAAAAAAAGAGTGCAAAAACCTAGTGTATGTCTTATCAGTCCAAGATGCTTTATTTCTTGATAACAGAAAAATAAGCAGAGACCAACATGTTTTGGGGTCCAACAAATCCTCTTCATCAGGGCTTAGATAATGTGATAAAACCAGCTATTTCCAATCTATTAACCACTGTTCTGAAGAATAATCTCTGAGCACAAAGAGCACAAAGGAGCAGGCTAAACAGACATGTGATCAGCAGGTTAGTAAGATACTAACCTACTCATCACAAGTTCATTTAGAGTTTTTTTGCGCTTCTAGAGATCATAAGACACATGTTTCGGTGCTCTTTTTCAATTTAAATATATATGTTCATCTAAGACAACTCTGTCCACCAGGTGACAAAGCTTCAGTGCAATTTTACTGCAGAATGAACATTGTTATCAGCATGTTAGAGGAAG